ATCATGACCTGAGCCAAAGGCAGAGACTTTAACCCACTGAGCCACCCAGGCGCCCTGAGACAACAGCTTCTGACCCGTGAGCCTGCTGTATGAGCGGCTCTGTGCACCTGGCGCGCTGCGACAGATGCGCTCACAGATGCTGGCGCCGCAGTCCCCCACTCCACCTCTTTACCGGAAGTGCTGGTGGGGCCCAGGACCCCTGTCCGCTCTCTGCCCCGGGCGCCGAGCTCCAGTGCATCGCGCTCCCCGCTGGTGAGACATTCTGGCCGGTGTTCTGGGCCCCCGAAACCATGCGCCCGCCAGGATGACCACACGGGGTGGGGGGGCATCATCAAACTCAGCCTATTTCTCGGCTTAGAGCCAGGAGGTCACAGACCTCGCTGGAAAGTACCACGGAGAGCTGAGAAATTGCGCCCGCACTCGGCGAACTGCAGGCCTTTCCTTCCCCTGAAGATCCGCCCCGTCCTTAGCCGATCCCATGTTCCAGAGTGTATGCGGAGGGGACAGGGCTCTTGAGGGCCAAGAGCCTTCCTGAAGCCCCCTCCCTGTCCTGAGGGACGGCTGCGGGGGTGGGGGTGCTGGGAAGGGCCAGGAGGGCCGCGAGGACCCGGTGCTGAGGGCCCCACAGTGCAGGCTCAGCCCCGGTGCCCCCTCTGAGGCCTGGGAGTGGAGGCCAGCCCCAGGGCCGGGCACATGTCCTGGGGGCAGAGCGCTCGCCGCAGCTGCTTGGATCCCTTGGCATCACGCACTGGGTGTCCCGGGTCCAGAGTGAGCGGTGTCCTGGTCACCAGTCAGGTGGCCGCACCCCGTATCTGCACCTGCATCCCCAAAGCCATCCCTCTACGTCCAGGGTCAGAGCTTTGCAAAGGGCCATTGCACCCCGCTCCTGCGGAGGGCTCGCCTCAGCTTCTTCCTCCCCGAGCGGCGGTTCGAGATGATAGATACCGGCTGTCCTGCCGGCAGCAAAGCCCGCAGCGGAGCGCCTGGGCCGGCCTCCGCTAAGCCATGGGCAGGCCGGGAGTAGCCCGGGGTGGACGGAATGTGATAGGCTTGCAGGAAGGACGCAGCGACTCATCGTTCAAAACTTGCTCACCTGGATTTTTATTTGTTAAAAAAAGAGCAGGACCGTCGGCTGGGCTCCCTTACGCATGTGTGCAGATGGGGTGAACATGGGAGCCAGTCTGCGGCTGCACCGGCGCGACCGGGAGTGCCCCTGCTCTCCGTGCCAAGGGAAGGAGGAAGGCAGGAGCCAGGAGGGGACCCGGGTTTCTGTCAAGGGCGTCGTGCGAACTGGAAACCGCTCCCTCTGCCCTCCGGCGGCAGGCACTTGCTACGGGGCCTGGGGCCTCAGGGCCCGCCCGCTTGGTGGTGCGAAGCGCGGCTGCCTGGATTGGGAAGCTCTGACGCTTCTGCCTGGGAGAGGTCCTCCCACTGGGCCCTTTGTCCTTGGCTGTGCAGGCGCAGACCTCACCTTTCTCTGCAGAATATGGGGTGTCTACGTGGACACACCCACATCTCTGCAACCTGCGGCTTTCTGCGTTCAGATGATCTGTCCTAAGCTCCCTCTCCCGTCGCCTCGTCCTCTCCCAGGCCACCAGGCTCATCGTTAGGCTCTCAGACCACCTCCTCCCCATCGGGGCCATGCGTGGACACGGGAACACCTCGGAGGCAGAAAGTAATGGAGCGCAACTCGCAAACTACCATCCCCTTCGGTGAGGCCTCCTCCCCGGGGCCATCCTCCCCAGGAATGTGTCCTTCCCTAGCCACCCCCCCCCACCATCCTGTCCGACTTCCCCGGGTTTTCCAGCCCCTCAGCTGAGCTCTGTCTGAACTCGGAGGTGTTCCTATTTGGACTCTTTTGAACATTTCAAAACACTTTTTAAATTTTTAAACACTTGGAACAAATCTTAGAAGGTGATACTTGATAAAACAATCTGTGGACGGTGGGAGGGACGGTGCCAGTCTTCGGGGGGCCTCGTCCTATGCAGCACGTGGCCTCACGGCGGTCCTTGAGTGCGGCCGCCAGAGACCCCGGCGGCCCTCACGCAAAGCTGCTGCGGGGAGTGTGGCCAGCGCGCGGCACAGCCAAGGCCCGGATGGGGGCAGCGGATCCTGGCAGCAGAGTCCGGGCAGAGGGAAGGCTTCACAGTGTGCACGGACTCGGCCTAGGAGCTGGCTGTGACACTAAAAGGGACACATCCACGCGTCTGGCAGTGTCTCATGGTGTGGGCTGAAACGGAGGCGGGGCTGGAGGTGAGCATGGTGGCCTGGGTGGTGAGCGGGAAGGGTCCAGCATGGGGCATTTTTGGGAAGAATCGGGACACATGTTCTAGAAAGTATAAACTCGGAACGCACTCCCGTGAAACCTGTGGGAAGTATGCGGGGTGAGCTCACCCCTGCAGCAAAAGCCTGGAAGGGAGGGGAGGGAGAAGATGGGACGGCAATTGAGTGAGGGTTGAGGCCACCGATGGAACCGGGAGAAAATGGAAACGCGTCTGGGGGCTGGCAGGGACTCGCGGGGCTGGGGGGACACTAGCCGGCAAGTCTGAGTGCGGGCAGGGTCAGCCGGGCCTCGCCTTCCCGCCTCGAGCTCAGCCGGGAGCCGCTGCTTCGGGGCGAGGTTTGCGTGGATGCCACGCGGGCAGGCTCGAGCACGCTCTGCAACCCACCAGGCAGGCCCAAGGTGACCTCCGCTCACAAGGCCCCCCCGGGCTCTCCATGCAGGTGTCAGAAGGAGCTCCTTTGAGTGACGTCCAGACCTGCGTTAATCACATTTTCTAGCCGAAGCTCCGAGCACACGACGAACGGCAGCGCCTGCACAGACCAGTGGGCAGCAGACCCCTCGTGCCCCGTGGTGGCCTCCGCGCAGCTGGGCCTGGAACCCGCAGTCAGACTGGCCTGAGTTCCAACTCCAGCTGTGCGGCCAGCGGACCAGCTAGCAAACGAACGTGGGTCCGGATTTCTTTGCTTTCGCAGATTTATTTAGGGGTTTAGAGGCAAATCTAAATGTGGGGAGTTTTCAAAGAAAATGTGTAGTGACCTTCCCTACCTCCAGAAGAGAATGCTAAGCTTGGAGCCTCTTCGGATCACGTTAACTTCCTATTTGTGCGCTAAGAAAGGCTGGTCGGCGGGGCGCCTGGGTGGCTCAGTGGGTTAAGCCTCTGCCTTCGGCTCAGGTCATGATCTCAGGGTCCTGGGATCGAGCCCCACCTCGGGCCCTCTGCTCAGCAGGAGCCTGCTTCCCCCTTTTCCATTCCCCCTGTTTGTACTCCCTCTCTCGCTGTGTCTCTTGCTGTCAAAATCTTTTTTTTTAAAGGACTTAAAAATATATATATTTTATTTATTTATTTGACACACAGAGAGAGAGATCACAAGTAGGCAGAGAGGCAGGCGGGGGGTGGGGGGTGCGGCGTGGAGCAGGCTGCCCGCCAAGTAGAGAGCCTGATGCGGGGCTCAATCCCAGGACCCTGAGATCATGACCTGAGCTGAATGCAGACGCTTAACAGCTGAGCCCCCCAGGTGCCCCCAAAAAATAAAATCTTTTTTTTTTAAAGATTTTATTGATTTATTTTGACAGACAGAGATCACAAATAGGCAGAGAAGCAGAGAGAGAGAGAAGAGGAAGCAGGCTCCCTGCTAAGCAGAGAGCCCGAAGCGGGGCTCGATCCCAGGATCCTGGAATCATGACCTGAGCCAAAGGCAGAGGCTTTAACCCACTGAGCCACCCAGGCGCCCCAAATCTTTTTTTTTTTTTTAAAGATTTATTTATTTGACAGAGAGATCACAAGTAGGCAGAAAGGCAGGCAGAGAGAGAGAGGAGGAAGCAGGCTCCCCGCTGAGCAGAGAGCCCGATGCGGGGCTCGATCCCAGCACCCTGGGATCATGACCTGAGCCGAAGGCAGAGGCTTTAACCTACTGAGCCACCCAGGCGCCCCCCAAATAAAATCTTAAAAAAAGACTGTGATTATGGTCCAAAAAGTGTCCCCCCCTTAGAGCTCAGTAAGTATGCAGGCACTCAAATAGATGACGCCTGAAATGGGGTTTGAAGCAGCCCACTGGGAGGAGGGCCAGGCGGGCGCACGGGTAAGACAGAGCTGAGCACAGGGTAACGTGGAAGCCGGAGGAGCACGCCGGGCTTTACTATTCTCTTTATTTCCAGTATTTTTGAAAATTTCCAAAATAAAATAAGTTTTTTAAAACGAGTTTTGTCTTGCTAGTGCTACATTATAAAACATTAAGCTTTCTTTTTTAACGAAGAGTCCCCAGCAGAAACATAGAGCTTCCTGACGGACGGAGTCGGCAGCCACACTCAATCGCGCGCGTGCGTGGAAGCAGAGCAAGCAGAGCAAGCCACCGGCGTCCGGAAACACGACCTGACCTGCCGAGTGCTCTGCTGTGTCCGCGCAAGACAACTGGAAGCTGGAGGTTGAGGTAGAAGCACCAACTCTGATAAATTTTAACTCTAATCCCGGGTGCGCGTGCGGGCTCTGGAGCCGGCCAAGTTGAGGCTGTATCCCGGCTCGGCTGCCTTCTGTCTACGAGAGAAGCGTCGTCTGGCTAACGGTGACAGCTGCGAGCCCCGGTGTCCGTATGTTCGTGCGTGGGTGCGCACAATTTCCTGATCACGAAAGCGCTTAGCTCGGGGCCTGCCACACAGTAAGGGCTCCGGAGACAACTCCACTAGCCTCTTACATGGGCTCCGAGTGTACGTTTCCGTCCTCGAGTCCCTGTGGAATTGGGACGCACGTCCTAGCTGCCGGCGCGCCCCAGTCTCCCGCCGGTTCCCTGCCTCGCGCTGTGTAATGGAAGGCTGCGTCCCGTGAGCGGAGGGCGCCTGCGACCCCGCAGGAGGACACGGTATCAACCCTGGGAAGTCCGTATTCCCAATCTCTGTTCTAAGATTACCGTGAATATAAGATAACTGATTTGAAATTTTAAAAATTTCAAAGAAGAAGCAAAACAGTTCCAACACCTCACGAACAGAACAGTTCTGAGACATGTTAGTTTTGTAAAAAATGGTTTATCGATTCCATTTTTGTATAAAACACACGGGAGAAACCAGCCGACCAACGCCAGGTACTGCCGCGTGGAAAGGGGCTTCGCCACACGGGAGCCTCAGGACACACACAGGTCTCTTATCGCGTCTGCAGTAACGGTCTATGCTTTTCCACCCGCCTCTCCGAAAACCTCCACACGGCCCCGTGCTTTCTTCGACCCGGTTACAGTACGATGACGGGGGGAAGGGGTTGGTTAAAACCGTGCTCTAAGCGGTTTTCTGCTGTCCCTTCTTGCCGATCAGAGACTTGTGGATGTGCGGGATCACACCTGCAAGGAAGCACACAGGATCAGAGGCCGCCGAGCCTCGACGGACGGCGACCGCACAGACTCAAGTCCCCTGTGACAGTACCTACCCCCAGGGCTCCCTCTCTCGGGCTCCGGGAGCCCCACGGAAACTGTGCAGAACAGCGCTCTTATGGGTTTCGGGGTGTGCGTGTGTCAGCGCATGTGCGCACACGCAGACCGCACACGCACCGGGGAGCGCCAATCTAACTTTGGCCTTCCTCACAGAGGCCACGGACGGCCGAGACCCGCGGGTTAGCATACGTACCGCCCCCGGCGATGGTGGCCTTGATGAGCGAGTCCAACTCCTCATCCCCGCGGATCGCCAGCTGCAAGTGGCGTGGAGTGATCCGTTTTACCTTGAGGTCCTTGGAGGCGTTGCCCGCTAGCTCCAGCACCTACAGAGCGCCCGGGGGACAGCGTGTCAGGGGACGAAGGCTCTTAGGGTCAGTGTGGACCCATCAGAGCGAGAAAGATCTCCGTGGTGCCCGGACACGACAGACGCGGGAACCGACAACCCGTGCTCGCGCGTTCCTGATGCTCTCAGAGGACTCTCCTTACTTCGCTGGGCCCTTCCGCAGCCGCCTGCTGCAGGGACAGGAGACGCCCGGGCAAGCACCCGCTTCTACGGGAAGAAGGCGAGGGAGAGACTGTCCCTTCGCCGCCATGTTCAATGCGAACGCCTCGGGAAAGCGTTCTCTCTCCGTGTCCCTGTAGTCTAGTTGTGCCCGGCCCTTAGCGGCTGCAGTTTATTTCTTAGTACTTGTAGAAAAGTTTAAAAACCTAATGAAAATAATTTCTCACTCAGAGATTTTAACATCAGTGGCCCTATAATCCACAAGCAGCATGCTTTATTCTAGAATGGGAATTTTCAACTGAAAGAACTTCAAAGCCCCAGCTGGCCACAAAACCGCAGTTTTGGGTTTTTTTGCTCCCCAGACTATACCGGCATTGTACAACCTACAAAAGCAAGTCCCCGGAGCCGCATGGAGACAGCGCAGCCGGAAGCCTTGGTGTGCACCAGAAGCCACGGGCACACTTCACAAGCCACTGGACCCCGCTCCGTTCTTTCCTAAACTGGCTGCTCTGGCGGGGGGGCAGGGTACCAGCATCTTTCGAGAGCTCACCAAGTGATCCTAGTGCAAAACCAAGGCTGAAAAGTGATTATCCCTGACTTTAGATTCCAGTATTTTCTTTACTTCTACTAATGACTAACTTCCCCAACTTAAGTATCTGGAACATTCTGAGCCAGAAGACTATGCCTCCACACGAGCGAATGCGGTCCGCCCCTCTCCAAAGTCTGCCGCTACGCACACGCACACGCACACCGGGAGAGCTGCAGAAGGGGGCAGACGTTCCATGCTGCCAACACCGTATCCTTGGCTCAGGACCTAAGGGAGACGAGAGCGTCTGCAGGTTAAGGACTTGGGGAAGTTAGCAGACTGGCAGCGGTGACAATGGACAGATCAAACTTCCACCTTTAGCCTTAGTCCCGACCAGAGCTCTCCTGAGGAAGAGCCTTCCCTGTTTCCACCAGATTGGCCATGGCCACCGTCTGGCTTGCTGGCTCCTTTAATGACTTCCTGGCTTGGGAGGTGGCTGAAGGAGTTTCAGAGCCTTAGAAGCGGCCGGAACGGAGGCAGTGCCGATCCATCACCCAACTATTAAGAATTAACTAACTTATCATCCTAAAGCGGCAAACTGACCAAGATCCAGCACTTTATGCACACAACCCTATCACCATCGTGTACCTGTGGTTTTTAAAAATGCGTCCACACTGGCAAACCTGTACCCGCCCCAAATCCTCACTCACCAGGAGACTGCGGTCTAACCTCACAAAGATCACGGAGCAGGGACACCTACAGCCACGGTTCCCTGCGTCACTAGCAGAGCACTGAGAGTATGTGACACTCCTTTGTCACGTCGCTTAAAGGTACGGACTGCGGACCCTCATGCGGACTTCAGACAAGAGCGCATCAAGGTTCCGCTCGACGCCGGCACCAGTAAGACGCATCTCGAAGCACCCGCGTTTTTTTGTCTTGAGCCCCGACTCCGCGGGCTCCAGTCCTTCAGAGCACCGCCCCCGCCAGACCCCACATGAGCCCGTCCCGCACACCTCCGCAGTGAGGTACTCCAGGATCGCGGCACTGTACACGGCAGCCGTGGCACCGACCCTTCCGTGGCTCGTAGTGCGAGTCTTCAGATGTCTGTGGATGCGGCCCACGGGAAACTGAAAGACAAACCATCGGGGTGGGAAGCATCTGAGAGTCTCACTGTCACACCACCGTGTGTGACCGAAGGCTGAGCGACGGGGGTGACGCAGGACAGAAGATGAATTTGGTTGTGCGTGTCAGAAGTCACACCGATCTAGGGCACCTGGGTGGCTCAGTGGGTTAAGCATCTGCCTTCGGCTCAGGTCATGATCTCAGGGTCCTGGGATCGAGCCCCGCATCAGGCTCTCTGCTCAGCGGGGAGCCTGCTTCCTCCTCTCTCTCTGCCTGCCTCTCTGCCTGCTTGTGATCTCTCTGTCAAATAAATAAATAAAATCTTAAAAAAAAAAAAAAGAAGTCACACCGATCTAGCAACAGAGAGCTCCCGGGACCTGTACTTATGTCCTAGTAAGGAGCCCACCCCTCCATGCCAGTTACTCTCCTGCGGAGAGCAGAAAAGGCAGAACAGCACTCGTTCAGAACGCGGAGTGTCGCAGCCTGGCGCAGAGAAAGCACGCGGTGCAGCAGCCCGCACACGCCGCACAGGGCCTCGCGTCGTGAGGGGATCATTAGTCCCTTCACGGAACAGCCTCGTGGGACCTCCTCTCCCGCCACCTTCCTTGGGCCCCGGCCACCCTTCCGTGCTCGGTTTTAAGAGGTGATCTGACGGCTAAGAGAAACCAACACCATTTTCTCACTGGGACTCTTCCTGAGACGAGGCACTTCCTCAGCTCCAAGGGGTCCTTGTTCCGCACCCCTGCGCCCGACCGCCCCACCCCTACGTTGCTCTGGCACTGCAGCGGCTCCACCAGCGCCCCACGCGGCCTCTCATCTGCACCTCGCTCACAATGCCTCCACGCCTCTGGCAAAGCTCCTGCTTGTCTGCACATCTCCTTTCCAAAGGCCCGGACGCACGGACGGACAGACTGATGTTTAAGCAGGTGCCACACCCGGCTTGGAGCCCAGCTGGGGGCTTGAACTTGCCTGACGTGAGCTGATCTCGAATCGGACACCTAACTGGTTCACTTAGCCACCCAGGTGACCCTCCAAAGGCAAAACTTAAAAGGAAATCCCAAACCCCTAACTTTCCTGTCACCTCTTTTATTCCAATCCAAACCTGGCTTTTGCTGAACATCATTTTTTTTTTTTTAAAGATTTTATTTATTTGAGAGAGAGACAGTGAGAGAGAGCATGAGCGAGGAGAAGGTCAGAGAGAGAAGCAGACTCCCCACGGAGCTGGGAGCCCGATGCGGGACTCGATCCCGGGACTCCAGGATCATGACCTGAGCCGAAGGCAGTCGTCCAACCAACTGAGCCACCCAGGCGTCCCCCCAGACATCATTCTTGAAGGTCAGTGGTAACACCCGAACTGCCAAATCTAGCTGCCATTTCTAGATCCCATCCTTGAGGAGGAAAGGCATGGCATTCTGCTCAGTTACAGTCCTTCACTAAGTAACCCCGGGCTCCCCCGGAGCAGGCAGGCTGTCTAACGACACACTAGGACGCGGAACCCCATTTCTACGTCGGCTGCAGGGACGACACAGAGCTCTAATGGTCTTCCAGGCGGGCTGGTCTTCAGGCTTTTCTTTCTCTGACTCAGATCCCAAGTGTTTCTGAGGGTCCGCCCGGGTCCCCGTGTTCCGTTCTCATGCTCTAACAACAAACATCTGTAGCATCAACAATCTATCTGACACACGGGAACTTAAATCTGTCATTCTTTTGATCGCTCCCTCCTGGAACGGGGGCTCTGATCTACGACTGGAGGGTCCCTTCCTGCCGGTGTTCCGGGGAACTTCAAGTTACCCACCTGACACCCATTATGTCATAACCTGTTTCTGCCTCAAGACAAGCTCCTCTGACCCGAAGGTTCCGAGCCTTAGGGAGACCTTTCTCGCCTTGCCTGTCAGCCCTCCACGAGCGGATCGCACACGCGCCTGCCGCTCCTTCCGCCCCACGCCAGTGCAGGTGCGCGCCGCCTGCTATAGCACCAAGGCCAGCCGCCGTGCCTGGCTCTCACCCAACGCGGTCAGGTTCACGTGATGCTCTGCGATACAGAAGGCACCATCAGGGGTAACTTCTATCCCCTTCCGTCAGTTCCCACGGGTCATGCCAAGCTCCTGCTCCAAAGCTTTCAGTGGCTCACCACAGCCGAGAGGCTGAAAATCCAAACCTTAGAGTCTGGCCTTCACACCTTCCTTTGAAAGGGTGTCTTACATGCAGGGAGCAATTCTTACTTATTCAGAATATTCTGAGTTGGTGGATTACAGTCGCAACCACTGAAATATAAGAAGTTTGAAGGTACTGAGTGTTTCGGGCACACCACTGCAGTCTAGAGCTGAAGCTACTGGGGACAGTCAAAGAACTAACGAACCGCCCGTCATTCTGCCCCAAATTCCTGTCATCTCAGAGTTACCCCCCACCACACACACCTCCCCCAGAAGAAAGCCCACAGCGGACTTACTTTAACGTGACTCAATTTATAAGAGAACCAAGAACATACTTACAATCCAGAAATAACAGATTTTAAGAGAGCAAAATCACAGAGTTCATTTAAGGTCATTTCATGACTTGTTCTTATTTAGAAAAATACAAATTAAAACACTGTTGTTTTAGTATTTAAATTTCAACCAATTAATCTCATTAAAAGGCCAACAATACATTTCCACAATTAATGAAACATCTCTGGGTCCTGGATCATAACAGTAAAGAAACTAATTTAATAGCGAATTAGGAGAACATCAATTACCTGTAGCCCGGCTCTCTGGGAGCGAGACACGGCCTTAGCCTTGGCTTTCCCACTGTCCTTTCCAGCTTTGCCTCCAGCCTAAGTGAAAAAAAGCTCCAGATGAAGACTTGAAAATGTTATTTCAAAAAGATACGGGAAACAAGTTCTTCCAGTTTTACCTCAGGTAGTTAAAAAAATTCTAGGTGATCTCCTTCCTCAAGTTCAGACATACAGGTGTTATGCCACCGTTTATTAGTTTATATAAACATGATGTTGAATCTTAAATACTTATTTAAAATGAGATTCCCGAACTTTTGACTTTTTTTCTCAAATTTCACCCTGAAGAACCTTCAACAGGTCAATATAACTTTTATGCTGGAAATATTTCATAATGAAATAATATTTAAAAAAAATTTTTTTTTAAAGATTTTATTTATTTATTTTTCAGAGAGAGGGAGAGAGAGCAAGCACAGGCAGACAGAATGGCAGGCAGAGGCAGAGGGAGAAGCAGGCTCCCTGAGGAGCAAGGAGCCCGATGTGGGACTCGATCCCAGGACGCTGGGATCATGACCTGAGCCGAAGGCAGCTGCTTAACCAACTGAGCCACCCAGGCGCCCCTAAAAATATTTTTTAAAAAACCAGTTAACATATATCATTTCCACAGAAATAGTCAGAAGTCCGCTGTTTGGAGAGATAGGGAAAAAGCACCTTATAAAAAACAAACCCTCAAGAACGCGCCCATGGAAGCAGCACGTGCCCCAGCGGTCCCACCCGGGGCTCTACCATGGAACTGAGGCCGCGACCAGCGCGCAGGTCCCCAGCAGCGCAGAGGCACAAGCGGCCGGCGTTCTGGGGCAGAGATGCGCTGCGCACGTCTCCCGGACGAGCACTGGGCTAGGAGGAGGGCACTGTGGCACCTGCCGGACGCGACCCTCACAGGCAGATACTGTTGGTGCATCTTACAGGAGGTACCTGTCAAAACCAGAGGGACAGAGAGAAACATGGGTGCCAGAGGCTGCAGGGGGGCTGGAAGCAGGGTGAGTGCCTCACGGGTGCGGAGTGTCACTCTGGAAGAAAGGAGCAGTCTGAAGACGACCGGCAGTGCTGGCTGCGGAGCGAGGAGACTGGACTTCATGCCATGGATGGGACACTGAAGAACGGCTCCAATGGCCAACTTTGTTAGGTATATTTGAAAACCAGAAAGACCTTCCGGCTTACACGGAAACGGTTAAACGAATCCTACTATCAACAGCCAGTAAAAGAAGGGCTGGAGAGTCTTACCGTTCACAAACAGGACCTGCTACAGGGAAGCAAGGGAGACTTTCGCAGCCGTTTCAACAACCGAGGTGCAGGTACGCGCCACCGAACCCCCACAAAACTACGTCTTGGAGAAAAAGACAAAGGCCGTGGGCTTTTCCCCCGTAAAGCCGGGCTCCCCGCCGCAGGCGTGCGCACACACCACCCGGACATCACTGGGTAAGTCAGACACGCTCGGGCCTCGGGGAGGGAACACCAAGGACCCGAGCTAAGACAGAACCCGAGGTTCTCGGCCGCACGGTTTCATCCGTACCATTCAAGTCTACCGCGGCGTCACGGTTTAAAAAAAAAGGCCCGTCAACATTAAATCCGTTTACAAGACGGACCAGCTGTTCCAGCGAGTGGACGCTAAGCTCTGAAACCGCGCGTCCCCTCTGCAGCGCAGCTCTTCAAAGAACTTGTAGGCCACGGGGCGCCTGGGGGGCTCAGTGGGTGAAGCCTCTGCCTTCGGCTCGGGTCATGATCCCTGGGTCCTGGGATCGAGCCCCGCGTCGGGTGCTCTGCTCGGCAGAGACCTGCTTCCCCCCCATCTCTGCCTGCTTGTGATCTCTCTGTCACGTCAATAAAAACACAAAACCAAGCACCCGGAGGCTACAGCGTCCACCGCACACATCTCAGCCCACTAAACGCGCGGGCGGCGGCAGCACGGAGGCAGCAGCACGTACGAGCCGCCCCGAGCCTCCCGCACGCCGTCCTTCCGCAGGACGGGACCCTCCCCGTCCGCCCCGCGCCGAGAGCTCCGGCGGCTCCGGCAGTCCGCAGCGCCGAGTCCGGAAACACCGACCCGCTCTCGGCCGCCAGCCGCGCCAGCCGGGCCCGAAGTCACTCGCGTCCCACCCGCTCCGCAGGCAGCGGCATTAAGGCGCGGGCTTTCCGAGCCGCACGGGGCAACGGCCCGCGCAGGTCCGCCGCCGGGGTCGGAGGGGCCGCCGCCGGCCGCACTCCTGCCCGCGGGGCCCGGGAGCCGCGGCTCCGCAGCAAGCCGACAGCCCGCCGCCGCCCGGACTTTTGGCTCCCGAGACCCGCCCGTGCGTTCATCAGCCGGCGGAGGCCCGCAGGTCGGCGGCGCTGCCCAGGGAACACCGGGGGACAGCACGGAGAGCCCGCCGGCCTCACGGCCCGGCTCCCCTCGCTGCGCGCCGACGCCACGGCGGGCGGGGCGACCTCGGGCTGCCTCAACAGGTATCCGCGCCGCCAGCCGCCCGGCCACCCGGCCGCCGCCCTCACCATGGTCTCGGCCGCTCCCGCCCTCGCTCCCGCCGAGCCGCCGCCGAGCCGCCGCTCCGGAGCACCGACCGCCGCCGCCGCCGCCGCCGCCGCCGCCGCTGCCGGAGCCGGGACAATAACCGGGGCCCGCTTCGGGCCGCCCCGGCCAATCCTCGCTCCCGTTGCTGGTTTGAACCCCTGCGGCTGCCCAATCGCGCGGCCTCTTCTAACCAGGCCCCGCCCCTGGCACCTCCTCCCTAACGGCTGTTTGTTTTTGCACACGGCACGGGGGGCGGGGCCTCCAGCCCCAACACCGACGCGCCTCTGTGCGCGCGGGGGCGGGGCCACGCGCGGCTCTCGGCCTCTCTCCACCGCTCCAGCCCGACGAACGGAGGGGCGGGCCAATGAGGGCGGACGGCTGGCGGTAGTCAGCCAATGAGAACATCGCCCGCGAGCAGGAGAGGCGGGCCGCCGTGAACGACTGCAGGGTTAGCCAATGGGTGGGGTGACCGGAGGCGGTGGCGGCTTTCCCGCGCGTTCTCCGCTCCCGCTCTGTGGCCTGTGAGGAATGTTTGTGACGCCTGCGACGGCGGGCGTAGCTTGTGCGTGTGGCGTCCCGCAGGCCGAGGCCCGCGGTGCCGGGCATCCGGGTCCCGGAGGCGCCCGAGCGCGGACAGAACGCGGACACCCGGGGTGCGGCCGGCCTCCCTAGGACCCGCCCCGCGGAGGTTCTCCCGTCTTTACCTTTTCCCGCGCGCGGCGCGCTGCGTCGGCCTTTGTCCCTGCGGTCTCCTGCTGCCCTCCTCCCGCGTCCGCGCCGGGGGTTCGCTCATGCGCCCCGGGGCAGGGACGGAGGGGGTCGCCCGCACCGCCGGCGGGGACCCCGGAGGTATTCGTGGGGGCTACTGTGGGGTGCGGATGGCCAGGTGCGTGGGCTCCCTCGGACCGCAGGGGTTAGGGAGGGGACAGGGGAAGAGCGGGGTTCGGGTCCAGCATCCCCGAGGCCGGCCCCGGAGCAAGTGACTTCGGTATCCCCGGCGCGCACCGCGGCACCTGCCTCCGCGCACCTGCAGACCCCGCCCCTCCCCCCGCCCCCGCAGGCCGATCCCCCCCCCCCGCCCCCTCGTGCACCTGTGCACCTGCACTCCCCGCGCCCCACCCCGCGCGCCTGCACACCCCGCCCCTCCCCGCGCACCTGGAGACCGCGCCCGCCCCACGCGTACATGCACACCCCGCCCCTGCCCGCGTCCCCCACCCCTCACCTGCAGATCCCCGCCATTCCCCCGGCGTCCCTAGCGCACCTGCAGACCCCGTCCCCGGAGACCTGACCTGTTGCCCTCGCTCTCGGGGCGTGTGATCTGAGTAGGGCACCGCGTGTGATCTGAGTAGGGCACCGAGTTTTCCCACGCCCGGCCCACCGTGCGGAGTTTGGGCGAGCGCCAAGTCTGCAGCCCAGAGCAAGCACCCGCCGGGTACCTAGCGCGGGTGTAACAGCCGATGAACTTTCCTCAGCAGCAGGTCGGTTCCCTCTCCCCGGCCTCAGATGCGGGGGTGGGCGCGGTGGGGGCAATGGAGTTAGGCGCGCGGACCTGGCGCGCATCGCAGGCAGGACCGACCCCTGGCTTCCGCGCCCTGCCGAGAGCCGAGAGCCAGGCTGAGGCCCGCAGGTCGAGGAACGCGGGGGGCTCTCGGGCACTGTGAGCACTGCCTGCAGCCCCGCAGCCGGCACGCGTGTTAGCCAGCCCGGTCCAGTTCCCCCGGAGCTGCAGCTGCGGAGGAGGTGGCCTGCGCCCACAGGGACCGCCTTGGAACAGGGAGTTTTGGGAATTAGCATCCCCAAGCGATGAACTCCCGCGCGTTAGCATTCAACCTGGGTAGGTTTAACCGGATCGGGTCCAGGGTGACGGTTCTCGTGGTGCGGGCCCTAGACGCTACCAGCACCATCTCCTGGAATCGTTGCAAGAGCAGATTCGGATCCCCGCCACCCGACCGGATCAGGAGCTGTGGGCGGGGCCAGCAGGCCCTGCGGTGTGCACCAAACTTAGAGAAGCTCGGGTCGTGGAAGCTGTGATGCTCGACCCAGAGCCCATTTAAAACGGAGGCACGAGGGGCGCCTGGGAGGCTCAATGGGTTAAAGCCTCTGCCTTCCGCTCAGGTCATGATCTCAGGATCCAGCTCTGCTCGGTGGGGAGCCTGCCTCCCTTCCTCTCTCTCTGCCTGCCTCTCCGCCTGCTTGTGATCTCTGTCAAATAAATAAATAAAATCTTAATAAATAAATAAATAAATAAAACACAGGTACGGGCTCCCTCAGCCGCCTGGTCTGCCTGGTCATTGGTCGGGGGTCTTCCCGGGAATTGTGCTGGGCCTAAGGGAGCAGCCTGCCTCCCCACAGCTGCTGGATGTGGGGTAATAGTGAGGAAGGCCGCTCCCTCCTGCTCTTGTGCCTTGATCTGAAATGACTGCAGTCTCCCGTGTGTCATTAACCCCCATTTGCTTGCACTGCTGTTCAACTTGTCCCCTCTCCTTCGCACGGCTGATCGTGATGTCGCCAGGAGCACTCCACAGCTGTGGCCCCATGAGGGCAAGTCCCCACCTTACAGTCTGCTTCCTGGGAAGCCTGACCTGGCACGATGGTCTTTCTTTCTTTTCTTTGTTAAAGATTTTATTTATTTATTTGACAGAAAGAGACACAGCGAGGGAGGGAACACAAGCAGGGGGAGAGAGAAGGAGAAGCAGGCTCCCCACTGAGCAGGGAGCAGAATGAGGCGCTCCATCCCAGGACCCTGAGATGATGACCTGAGCTGAAGGCAGACGTTTAGCCCACGGAGCCCCCCGGGTGTCCCGGAGAGGGTTTTGCTTTGCAAAGTTGTATTAAGTTCTTGAGTGCACCGTATATTCAGCTGCAGAATTGTGAAGATGCAAAAGTAGAGGATGGCCGTTTACCGTCGTCCGTCTTCCCGGGGTTGCCAGTGTGAGGAGAAGACAGCCTTAACGATTACAGGATTACTACATAGATTCCCCAAGCTTTTACCCCTGTGTTGAGTTTTAAATTCCCTTTAACACTGAGGCATTCTCCAAAACATCATAAAGCCTTTAAGAGAGAGACATTTTCTTGGGGCTGCTCTTGGAAAGGACAGCCACATTCTCTTTTTATTTTTTAATTAAAAAAAAAAAAAAATCCCTGGGGGTTTAGGTCAGCCCCTGGCGGTAGGTCGCAGCTTCCGTGAACCGGAACCTGCCTGGTTTGGATGAGGTCCGTCAGAAGGCAGGATCCTCGCGACCTGGGCAGAAGGCGCAGGCAGAGGCTTAACCGACGGAGCCACCCCGGGTGTTCCTCGGGTGCCTTGCCACCTGCTTCCCTGCTAGGTTTTGCCAACAGGGAGGACTGGAGGGAAACCCCAAGACGGGGGAGAGGCCGGCATGTCCGTCTGCTGGCTCCAAGCATCACCCAAGCAAGGCTTCACTCCTTGCACAGCAGTGACTGAATCTGTTGTCCCCACACCGGCAAAACCAGACTGGCCACTCCCTCCTGCTCAGCAGCCCAGCCAGCTCTCCCCTCAGGGGTGAGCTCTGGGCCACAGGCCCTTCCCTTAGGGTTCTGAGGTTTTCCTTTTGTTTCTTTGAGGTAGCTAGCTGCCAGCTGTCAACAGCTTAGAGCCCTCGTTTACCCAGTATCAGTTAACAACTCTGTATCCAGTTAGCAACCTTTACATCCTCTCTGTTAGGACAACAGGTGTGTTTTCTGGAACCAGAACAGACCTTGACTGACAGGCACAGGATATGTATATTTGTAATTGTTTAAAAGATTGTTATTTGGGGCGCCTGGGTGGCTCAGAGGGTTAAGCCTCTGCCTTCTGCTCAGGTCATGGTCCCAGGGTCCTGGGATCGAGCCCCACGTCGGGCTCTCTGCTCAGCAGGGAGCCTGCTTCCTCCTCTCTCTGCCTGCTTCTCTGCCTACTTGTGATCTCTGTCTGTCAAATAAATAAATAAAATATTTTTAAAAAGCATTTAAAAATGTTTCAATTTTACATGGGGGAGAAAATTTTAAAAATTAATGTGATAAAAGGACAAGACTACATTTTTCAAGCGTTAAAGCTCATGCAGCCTTAGACTCTGAGGGGGCCCTGCTCTGTGCTAGATGCTGTCGTTAAGTGTAAAGTGCCTTCCATACATGCTTTTTGATCCTTATAAT